GGGAAGAAAAAAGGAGGAGGAAGAGAAGAAAAGCATTTGACAAGGCATGTCACAGGGTCTATTTTGAGACTGCATGGGTAAAAAAAAGGGAAGAAGAAAAATATGTTAGAATAATCCAGAACTTATACTGGGAATGAAAATCCTGCACACCTATAGAAAAGGAATTGAACACTTGCAAAAAAACATAGAAAGAAGAAAAGTAGGAGGAGGAGGAAGAAGAAGAAAAGAGTAGGAAGAAGAAAAGGAGGAGGAAGAGAAAGAAAAGCATTAGACAAGGCATGTCAAGGGTCTATTTTGGACTGCTGGGAAAACTAAATCTATTTGGAAAAATATGTTAGAATAATCCAGAACTTATACTGGGAATGAACATCCTGGACCTATAGAAAAGGAATTGAACACTTGCAAAAAAAAACAAAGAAAGAAGAAAAAAAGGAGGAGGAGGGAAGAAGAAGAAAGAGGAAGAAGAAAGGAGGAGGAAGAAGAAAGAAAAGCATTTGACAAGGCATGTCACAGGGTCTATTTTGGACTGCTGGGAAAACTAAATCCATTTGGAAAAATATGTTAGAATAATCCAGAACTTAAAGAGGGGAATGAACATCCTGAAAATGAACAAATAGAAAAGGAATTGAACACTTGCACAAAAACATAGAAAGAAGAAAAGTAGGAGGAGGAGGGAAGAAGAAGAAAGAAGGAAGAAGAAAGGAGGAGGAAGAGAAAGAAAAGCATTTGACAAGGCATGTCACAGGGTCTATTTTGGACTGCTGGGTAAACTAAATCCATTTGGAAAAAATATGTTAGAATAATCCAGAACTTATACTGGGAATGAACATCCTGCACACCTATAGAAAAGGAATTGAACACTTGCAAAAAACATAGAAAGAAGAAAAAAGGAGGAGGAGGAAGAAGAAGAAAGAGAAGGAAGAAGAAAGGAGGAGGAAGAAGAAAGAAAAGCATTTGACAAGGCATGTCACAGGGTCTATTTTGGACTGCTGGGTAAACTAAATCCAAGTAAAAAAATATGTTAGAATAATCCAGAACTTATACTGGGAATGAACATCCTGCACACCTATAGAAAAGGAATTGAACACTTGCACAAAAAACATAGAAAGAAGAAAAAAGTAGGAGGAGGAGGGAAGAAGAAGAAAGAGTAGGAAGAAGAAAGAAGGAGGAAGAGAAAGAAAAGCATTTGACAAGGCATGTCACAGGGTCTATTTTGGACTGCTGGGTAAACTAAATCTATTTGGAAAAATATGTTAGAATAATCCAGAACTTATACTGGGAATGAACATCCTGCACACCTATAGAAAAGGAATTGAACACTTGCACAAAAACATAGAAAGAAGAAAAAGTAGGAGGAGGAGGGAAGAAGAAGAAAAAGAAAGGAAGAAGAAAAGGAGGAGGAAGAGAAAGAAAAGCATTTGACAAGGCATGTCACAGGGTCTATTTTGGACTGCTGGGTAAACTAAATCTATTTGGAAAATATGTTAGAAGAATCCAGAAATCCAGAACTTATACTGGGAATGAAACATCCTGAGGAGGAGGGAATAGAAAAGGAATTGAAGAGGAGGAAGCAAAGAAAACAAAACAAGAAGTCAAAAAAGTAAACTAAGGAGGGAAGAAGAAGAAAGAATAAAGAACTTATACTGGAAAGGAGGAGGAAGAACCTAAGAAAAAAAACATTTGCACAAAAACAAGAAGAAAAGGAGGAGGAGGGAAGAAGAAGAAAAGTAGGAAGAAGAAAGGAGGAGGAAGAGAAAGAAAAGCATTTGACAAGGCATGTCACAGGGTCTATTTTGGACTGCTGGGTAAACTAAATCTATTTGGAAAAATATGTTAGAATAATCCAGAACTTATACTGGGAATGAACAGCCTGCACACCTATAGAAAAGGAATTGAACACTTGCACAAAAACATAGAAAGAGGCATGAAACAAGGATGTGTCTTTTCCACAGTTTTATTCAGTAGCGAGGCTATCCTCAAGAAGCTGGAAACAGTACCAGGAATTATTATCGCTGGATATAATCTTAACAATATAAGATACGCAGATGACACAGTGTTGATGGCTGACACGGAATGAATACTATAGGACCTGCTAGACAGAGTAGTAAAAGAAAGCGAGAAGAAAGGACTAACCATCAACTGCAAGAAGACAGAATGTTTGTTCATCAACAAGATAAAATGCCCAAGATGCGAGTTACAAATAGAAAATGTGACACGGAAATCCGAACATGCATTGGACTAGCGAAATATACTTTCCAAAACTAAGCAAAGTGCTGGGACAGAAAAATTTCGTTAGAATAGAGCGCTGGATTTGCTATGTGATATCCATCCTCTTATATGGCAGTGAATGTTGGACAATCTCCCCACAGATGAAGAGAAAATTGGAGGCAATAGAAATGTGGTTCTACAGGATAATGCGGATTCCATGGACGGAGCGATTATGCAATGAGGTAGTCGTAAAGAAAATGGCAACAAAAAGATCTGTACTCTTATACAAAAAAACTTATACTCAGAATCAGGAAGATACCGCTAAAATTCCTTGTACACATAATGAGGAAGGAAGTCTTGGAAAAATTAACCCTCACAGGATATATTAAAGCAAAATAGAGGAAAACAGCTACCTACCTGACGAGTTTATGTAAATGGGTGCTGGAACGGGGGAGCCTTAGCAAAGCAACCAAATTACCGCCTTTAAATGAATATCACAGACAAATATTGTTTAAGTTAAATGAAAAAGTACATGAAAAATAATTTCTCAACAGTATTTTTTAGAGATGAACTTGGATCGACAATGAATAAACCTGATGATTGGACTAAAGTTTGATTAATTCAGAGAAATAGTTAACTAACGCGATTTAGAGAGTACACAATGTTTTGAGCAATAAACTTGTAAGTTTCTTCAAAGTCGATGATAGTTTCAAAATAAATGTAGAAAAACGTCCTCAATAAGACGTCTTCATAAGTGGCACACGTCACAATCAAATCGTTTTAAGTTAAAGAATATATTCATAGAATGCTGAATCTAAATATTAATCCAACAAAAACTTATGATCTATTATTAAAAGATATGTATATAAAAATGAAAAACAACATATAATCAAAGATTATAGGAAGCAATAACAGAGGCATTAACATTTAGAGAATTTAGAAAAGAAAATTTAACAAAATCAACAAATGAAAGACTTATGTAGGATATAGAACGTCAAAGAGCCAATATAAAATATAAACAGGTGAAATATAAACATAAATAATTTATTCAGCTGTATGGGATGCTGAGTTAGTCAAATAGATGTTTCTCTGGACTGCATCTTTTAGACTTATTTTAAATAAAAAAAATGTGTATAATAAAACCCAACACCTACAAAACGGGCTATTACCAATATTTTCTTTTAATAAGGAAAGTTATTATAAACTGAAGCTCGTATGATATATTTCTCATATAAATGTAAGTATATTCGGAAACACTTTTTCAACCTCGGATGCCGTCATGGGTATGACGATAAACTACATCCGCGTCCAGGGTAAGACGATAAACTACGTCCAACAGCAAGGCCTCTGATCAGGAGGCTTTGAGGAGCGTGGAACCATCTCTTAATTGCTGTTGTTCCCAGGTCCACCCTGACCCGGGGTGGTAGCGACTGTTAGGTCCCGGCTATGGACAAATAGTTAACCCCGAAACTGAGGTAAAAAGCATTATGAAAGTGTAAAACTAGCTTTTAATACCAGAAATACTTTGTAAAAAAATTATTACCAGAAATAAATTTTTGAAGAAGAAAAATTATCACGAGTAATGTTTTTGAAAAAAAATATTACCAGCAATACATTTTTTGAAATTATATTACCAGCTAAACAATTTTGAGGAAAAGAATATTACCAGAAATAGATTTTTGACAAAACCAAAATATTACCAGGAAAAAAGTTGTCGGTATTAAATGACCCATTGAAGTTGATATGCCGTAAAACAAACCAAACCAAACTAAAGCAACCTCGGTTGGTTAATAACAGTTTTATTGTTTCACAATAAAACATTGACTTGAATAAGAACATCTAACATTGATGTTCTCATATTTATCTCCACAAATTAGAAATTTATAATTTTGCTGTATCTTGGCTGGAAAACAATTTGTTTTTCCTCCACCATGAATGAATATGCAGTTTCTCTGTTCAAATGTCCTCTTTATTATTAAGCTCAAGTCATCTCATCTGAAATGCCTTCTATTTGTTTTCATGGAGTTCATTTTCATTTTATTTTTCATTTTGGAGGTTTCGGGTCTTATATTCTTATTCTGGGTAAATGTACAAAAAAAAGTCGCAAAATGTAATTCTTTCAAGTATCGGAGATTCATTCCGACGACACCACCTCCCCGTTACGCTTAAAGAACGGTTCAGAAGATTATCCGATGTTTGCATCTTGACTATGTTGCCAAAGGTGTTTTGAAGCAATTCACATTAAATTTGCAACGTTTGTGTTGACTTCTTTTCAATGATTCTTTCATGCGACCTGTCTCATCTGTATTGTTTTATTATTCGAATAACGAAAATATTAAATAAATCTTTATTCCGTGATAAAACTTTTAGGAACAATTAATGTAGTATCATAAAAGAAGAGGCATTAACATTTAGAGAATTTAATGTTTCTTATTCCCTAAGTTAGATTCTGATTTAGACACAAAGCATAGTTTTTTTAGAACCAAATTCTACTCATTTGCAAATTTCTAGGCCATGTTTATTTTTTAAATTCTTTTTTAGACAACTCGTTGCATTTGCTGATTGACAGCCTCATCTTTACACAATCCACATTTGCTATTTTCTTGTGTCTTGTCAATCTTAGATTTTATATAAATTGTTCTTATCACGTTGTTTTTGGCCGCCATTAATAATTATTCAGTTTCTCCTTTCAGATGTTCTCTTCGCAACCATTTATATATTGTTTCATTTGCAATAATTTCTTCAATTTGAAACCGTCGCACAGTTGCTTTTCTTTACATTTTTAGCTTCTTATGCCGTTGAAGTTTCTTGTTCTTATATTCGTTCTTATATTGCAGCTTTTGGTCGTTGTAATTGGTGATTCTATTACTCTGGTTTGTGTAGCTTTTAAGTCTCTTGATAGAAGAGTCGATGCTGTCTTCAATGCTGACAATTTCTTTTTCACACTCTTTCCATTTTTCATATCTATCGATGTAATTGTTTCGATGTAAAGCTTTAGGCGTGTTTTTTTATAAACCAATTGGATTATAATTATTTATCAGTAAGTACTGTGTAAGAAAAGACATTCTGCATTCTTATGGAATAACTTTCTCTACACACCATATTAAAATATTTAATTATCACTCACAAGTTCCCTTATTATCCATCCATCAATTAATGAATGTTCAGGCATAAAATTGATTTAATGACTATAAGATCCAAAGCAAAACTTTAGACAAGACTAAAATATATTCTCTACAAACAGTATTTAGCCACCGACAACTATACGAAATTGTTTTCAAAGTCAAAGTGAATGGTCTGCGAAACGACTCGACGCTCTACTTAAATTCATTATATATATTAATTTTATTGTCGATATTTACTAAGTTTAACTTAATAAATCTGACATGGGACTGCAATGCAAATACATCGGATTAAAGATTGAACTTATTGCACGTGAACTAGCGAGACTAGCTTGTCAATTCTGCTAGATTTATATTTCACTTGACTTGGCACAAGGCTGCAATAATGAAGCACCCAGCGTGGACAGAGAAATCATCTGTGTGACAAGTTTGCTAATCTCGCTCTGTGGCAAAGTTTTAAAAATATTTTAAATAAACTTAGTATAGCACGAGTTCACAAAAGTGAGTCACCCAGTGAAATTCAAACTCATTGCGCTTGCAATGAACGGCGAGATTGTTCGGCTATTGTTCTATTGCAAGCGTCAATAAATATTTTATTTATTGTGTGCAACATTTTCAAGTATTTTTATTAAAAATGTTTTTCTCTCTAGTTTTCAAAAAAGGGCTGCTGAGAACATTTTAATACATAATTTACTAAAAATCAGGTTAAAATAGTAGTGTAACCACTGAGGATTGAACTCCTTGCATTAGCTATGGCCCTCAAAGTCGAGACTGCTATCACTCTATGCCTGGCAGCCATATAGAATTATTTACTCAATAATAACTAAGTTTGACACAAGGTCGCACAATTCATGTACTTAATGGGAATTGAATTCACCACACAAAGAAAACTGGTTTCGTTGGTATGACGAGCTTGATAGTCACTATGCCACGGTAATTATTTTCTGAGCTAACCTTGACACAAGGCCACAATATTGAGAGTCAAGATCTTCTGACTAAAACATTAGTGAGACGAGCCTGTTAACTTTCGCACTGCTGTATGTATAATTTGCTTGTGTAGTGAGTCCAGTTTTCATTGGGTGCTTCACTACAGTAGCCTTGTACCAGAATAAGCATCTATGTAAGAAGCATCTATGTGTGTGCCTATGTGTGCGTGTGATTAAAAGCTAAAAACGAGAGAATTAAAAGATTTTAAGAAGTTGCAAAGGAGAGCAAAATGAATTGATACGAATTTATATAACAAGTCTTTCCTCTGCTGCAGGTTTTTCTACAAATACCCACTCTAAAGTCACTACTATTAGTACTGCAGCTACTACTGCTAGACGCTTTCTGCTTAGACAAGTTTCCTCCTCCCACTCACACCAGTTATGATTATTGCAGCTCTTTCTCTTTTCTCAGCATCTTTGCTTGCACCCATTTTGAAGTGAGTTTCGTTCGATTGACTGTTTATAATATTTTATTTCGACTCTCCCTTTTTGCCTCATACTCCTACCCCTGCTCCTCCTTCCTGCGAGTTGAACGAACTCGTTCTTTTAGAAATACGACAGAACAGAAATTCAACATGGCTACAGAAGCTATTAGCTCAAATTCGGAGAGTATAGAAGCCCTTAGCAGGGAAGCTGAAGTACTCAAAGCCAAATTGGAGGATGAGAAGGCCAAGTTGAATGATGTGGACAGTAAGTTTGGCCAGAATTTTTCACCGTTTATATTTTCTTTTTGGTAAATTATCTGTGATAAATGATGGTGTAAAAATTATTGGTTACAAATATAATGTAGGTAGCCTACAAATTCTACACACGTTCAAATGATTTTTTAAAGTATAAAGAAAAACATAATTTTGCTTTTATAATTAAGAGAAAGTTGGAAGTTATATATTCAGCTATATTAACACAGGTTCAAGATTAAATTTTGCAAAAAAAAAAATTTAGAGAATCTTCTTCTTTTATGTGTTGATGCTAAAAAACAATCTTCGCTTTAGCCGCGCTAACAAGGTACGTGTGTAGTATGTATGTACTGTACATCTTCTTAGCATGCTTAATCTTTGCAATTACAAAGAATAAATAAATGTACGCTTTTACACTTGCAAACAGCAAAAAAAGGAAGTAAAATATTTTATTTTCTTTCGTTATTCCGTAAAAAAATCTAAAGCATTTTGATTTTTGACTGGGAATCTCTTGTCTAAAAAGTCATTGTTGTGTTTAAGATCTTTACACTTTACAGGAATATTGTGTTCTACGTAAATGTTTATGTGTATGTACGAGTGTACAAAAAAGATATCACATCAAAATACAATACACCAAACGATGACAACAGACGATACACCCACATCAATTCATATGATTTATCACATACATTTTCACCCGTTTTTAACTCATAGGGCCTAGGAATTTTGTTTTACAAGATAATTCAAAATATTTCCCATTTTCTGCCAAACTATTGGTGCAACTTAATCAACATAGATGCAGCTATCTAAGCAGTTATTTTTGCATGTATCACTATGCTGATATTATAAATCACACAAGTGTGTGTGTATACTCTGTGTGTGTGTGTGTGTGTGTGTGTGTGTGTGTGTGTGTGTGTGTGTGTGTGTGTGTGTGTGTAGACTGTGTGCGTGTATACAATGTTATGGGTTTTTGCAGACTAAAAAATGTTATGGAGGAAAGATGCAAAAATACGCTGAAAATGAATATATGAAGCAAATACACATAAAAAATGCAATCTATATTAGAATTGGCTGCTCGAAGGATAAGATAAGTTGCGTATTTCGCACTAGTATCAATGTTCTCAAACCCAAGCAAAAACCAGGAATGCGGATTAATTTCCAAAAAAGTCAAACAGAACAAAATTATTTGGTAATTTGGTGCAATATAATCTTGCTAAGTTTTCATTTTGCCTAATCTTAGTAAGTAAAGGGTCTGAAATCTTTTCAATAGAATTAAAACAATGTCAATCAAGAGATTGATAGATTATGAACAGACTGACTGAAGTGAAATAGATAATGTGTGTGTCGACTCAAAAGTTATCAGTCTGTTCCAATTATTAGACATATACACAGATAAATTTATTTTAAATAAACAGCCAAAATTAAGAGATCCTGTTACTGGCAGTATTTTTTTGTTTGTTTGTTTATTTTTTTTTTTTTTTGTTTGTTGTTTTTTTTTAATCACACACTATCTTTATTTTTCATACAAATAGAGGCGTTTGTGGATAGTCAACCACTAAAGAAAGAGTAACAAAAAAACAATACTGCTACTCCACATTCAAACATTTTAGCGGTAGAAAGAATCCCTACCCTAAGTGTTTTTTCCCAATATCAACATTTCTCCGTCACGCCTTCTCAAATATAATTTTGTTATCCTTTATTTGTCGAAATATCCCAACACTTTTAAAAATAAATAACCCACACTAATCCTTTGGATTTAAAGTGAGCGACAAAAATCTCTTCCTGGTTTTCTTTAACCAACAATGACACGAAATCATGGGATGATACACAAATGCAATCGTAGATTTTTTTTTTCTTTCGCTCTGCATTTACCGACCACCGGCTGACATGTAAAAAATAAAAAAATAATCTTTTCCGACGCTACTCAACAGGACCCCACAAATACACGCGAATACAAAAAGAATGACGGGCAGACCCTGAGTAGCTACAATTATGCCTGTCTATGACAAACAACAGCATAATTACATGCTGTTGTTTGTAAAATGCCCTTTAAAACATTTAGCGTAAGTTTTTACAAGTTGACGGCAATGTAAATAAAATCGACGGAAAATAGTCGTCTCACTGTTAGTAAAGTGTTACTACTGTTTAAAGTTAAACGTTTTAACTTTTATTATTCAATTATCACTGACCTCACATTTATTTTCCAGTATATCTGTTTCTACACTTCTAGTTATTGAATAGTAACAATCGATGATTTTCTATGTACGTGAGTGCGTTTACATACAAACAACAATCTATAATATTGACTGTTCATTGGGTGCATATCTTTTGGTTACAGGACAGGCCACCTAAGGCGCCCAAGCGATAAAATAAGAGACTTCAGCGCTTCACTACATTTCTCAGTTCCTTCTATTTTTGAAATGAGATTTCTGCGTAGGTATTCCCAAGTTTCCTCGTCGTTTCAGCATCTTTCTCAATAACCCTATTATTATTATTATTATTATTATTATTATTAAAATGAAAATTTTGCTTCGGTATTATCAAGTCTCTTCAGTACATTTCTTTGTTTTACTTCTTTTTATTTGCTCGTTATTACATTCATTTACTAAGTCTTTTTTTAACCGAAACTCCAGATAATGAATTTTTTGTCTTAGGAAGTTATGAAGTATAGGATTTTTTATTTGGAAAAAAAACCTACGAAAAAAATAGTTCAAACGATTGAGGTAGCATTTTTAGACGACATCAGTCAGTTTTAAAAACAAACGATAAATTTATTAACACACGAAAATGAAAGAATTACAGAAATTAAGTGCTTTGTGTACCAAATGATGACCGATAACAATAACATGCATGTAAAAATAATCAATGCAAATAAAAAAAAATGCCGCTTTTTTACAATAAAAATTACAATGCTACATAAGGTCCTCAGAAAAAGTAGACAACATAAAAATAAATGAACAACGGAAAAAAATACTTCTGAAATTGTATCTATTCTTTGAAAAATAGGTACAATTTTCGAAGCAAAGTCCATGGTAACAGCGAAGAACAGAACAATAACACCAGCCGAAGAATTTTCCTTGATGTGGGAGCGATTCTGATGTTCCTTTTTCAATTCTCGTCTGGTGGTTGTCAAACTTCTGTGTTGTTTTTCTTTGACCGGGCCGATCTCGGTTCATACAGCAGCTATTCGTTGAATCCAGGAATATAATTCCTGGTTCTCTTTTTATTCACTCAGAAAGGCTCCAAATTTAACTTCTCGGAATTTGGAGGGAAACAAACGTAGCTATTTTCCCACAAATCGAAATGTACCAAAAATATTTTGAAATTCAAAAGTCTCAACAAGAGCCCAACGCAGTGTCGTTTTTCTCTCAAAGATGCAGCCCATACACACTCAAGCAGCTTAAATTTCTTATAGAAGCACTGGATGATGATAATTATTATTTCCTTTGATTTCTGTTGTATAGTCATTTCCTCCCGGATCCCAACCAGAGACCTAAGATCAGAAATGGCATCATAACATTTTCCACTGCACATTTTTGTAAAATAAATAAATAAACAACCTAAGATCACGCACATTTTACATAAAACCCTCAGTAAGGTGTGAGTTGTACTTGTGAGAATAATGTTTTGTATTTTTTAAAGGCATAGGCTACCAGGGATCCATTCAATATGTCTGTCGGAACCGTTTCCAATGAAACCGAGAGCTCCAACCACAACTGGAATTATTGATGTCCTTATCTGCCACATTTTTTAGATTTCCACTTGTAGATCTTTGCATTTTGTCGTCCTGGGTAAGACGTTAAACTACATCCGCGCCCTGGGTAAGACGTTAAACTACATCTGCGTCCTGGGTAAGACGTTAAACTACGTCCAGCAGCAAGGCCTCTGATCAGGAGGTTTTGAGGAGCGTGGAACCACCTCTTAATTGCTGGTGTTCCCAGGTCCCCCCTGACCCGGGGTGGTAGCACCTGTTAGGGTCCCAGCTATGGGCAAATAGTTAACTATTACCAGCAATACTTTTTTGAAATAAATTATTACCAGCAATACAATTTTGAAGGAAATATATTACCAGAAACAGATTTTTGACAAAACAAAATATTACCAGCAATAAAAATTTTTGTCAGCATTAAATAACCCATTCAGGTTGATATGCTGTAAAATAAAATAAACCAAACCAAACTTTGCATTTTGATAATTTCTTGTTTTTTGGGTTTTTTGGGGTTTTTTTTTTTTGAAGATCTTCAAAGATACATTACAGTCTGCATGAACTGTCATGTCAATAAGAAAGCACATTCTGTTTTTGCAATTTTTCTTCACTGTCTAGATTAGATTTATTACTACTACTACTATTACGACTACTGTTGAGTACAATCCCTTGCCGAGTCATTATCACAGACCTGAAGTAAGGCAAGGTAGTAAATGTATTCTTTTGCACAAATTCGGATGCTAAGTGATGTTTTTTAACATATACAATGTTCATATTTTCTTTACATTTATAATACTCTCCTGAGTCGATGAACAGAAACTCTTGTGCACAGAGGATGCCAGGGATTTTGTTAATGCTCTTGTTTGTACCATTATTTTTTCATTGTACTCAGGCTCCCACTTTTTATAGCTATAACACTAAAAGTAGTTTTAAGGTGCTACATTTTTTCAGTTTCAATATCAAGTGCCTTTTATTTATTTATTTTGTCATTATTTAACGGATATATTGTTATCTGATTGCATTACCGTGTATATGAGAAAGTATTTTTGTTTGTAGTTTGTAATTACAATGTCTGATCTTAGCTTTTATATATTTGCCAGTAAAGTCCTAATCAATAGTGACCTCATGGTTTTCCATGACTGTTTCGGGATGATGATCAAAACATTTTTAGCATGTGGTGCATTTTAATTTAATTCCATTGAATATACTGCCTAATTCTGTTATGTTGATCTTTGTATTGCTTTGGTGTCAAGATTAAACAGTTAGACACTAAGTGTTCAATAGTCTCAACATGTTGTTCACATAAT